ATTTACGTAATGCAATTGTGTAGCAAGGCAAAAGCCAGTTAGGCGTGAGAAAACTAAACTGCAAACATCAACGATAATTGGGTTTGAGGTTTTGAGGTTTGCTAATGAATCCTGAACTTTTGCTGTGATTGGTCAGTTAACGATCGACCTGTCAGAATCAAATCAAAGCCGGTGTTCACGGTTTTTTACTCGCACAGTATTTGGAGAAATTTGGCTCTTAACAGACCTGGCTTCCATCAGACTCCCCAGATTGTTACAAATGTACTCTGTACAGATGTCTCGAAGCTGGTTAGCGTTGTAAAGCAGCGAGAATTCCAGAAGCTCAGAAACGTTCTTTAAAGTGACTACAAGATAAAACAAAAACAGCTAAGGTACCTTATAGTTTTGTTGTTTGCACGCAACGAATCTTTATTGTGCAAATGACATTTTCAAAAATGGTAATTTTCACAACGTGTTAAAAAAAGGTGTTTTATCAATTGTTAAATTGCAGTAATATAGTAAACAAGTTATCTTTTACGTACTGACATGACATGTCTAACCACGTGTCTAAGTTTCCTTGATTATTTTGTTCTTATGGCTAGACATGTTAGAAGTTACGTTGCATTGGTAAANCAACAGTGCTTTGTGAGCAGTAATAGAAAGATATAATAGTGTATTAATGCCTCAAATTAATGGTAAACAAAAGCTGCACATTGAATTAATTAATACAGTTTCATGGTTTTGTGAAGTTCTATTAATTAAGTACTGTACCTGACGGGGAAGTGTTTGGAATTTTTCGCCCTTTGCATGTCCTGAAAAAAAATCCATCTTTTAATTGTAAAAAAATATTGCAAAGCAGGGGATACATGTTATATTGATAGTATTACATGTACCTTGCTCATGTAACAGTTATTTTGAAAAAGACTTGTTATACTATCACAGGTAACAAAGCTACAGCACACTTATACATTTATACATATATATAATTCAATGTGCTATGTACACTAGTAGACAGGCCATACCCAGCTGCCCAGCATTCAAGCCACAGGTGTAGACTTCATGCCTGGTAAAGAACACTGAGTGATAACGCCCAGCAGCAGCTCCCACGATATCTTTGCTCTTCCACAACTTAAGTTGCACCTGTTGTATGAACAAAGACAAACGCTTATCAGAAATTAGCTGGAGTGAGAAAGGGTAGCCTAATGGTTAGTACCCCAGACTTTGGATTGAGTGGTCTGTGTAGAAGCCCTGGCTTGGACATTGTTTTGTTTTTGGACAAGAGAACTCTCTCCACCCAGGAGTACACATGTACAACTAATTGGGTACTGGGAAATTGTTTCCAAGGCAACCTGACAAAATGTGCAGGTCAAAGTTACAGTACCTCTGATTACTGGGAGAGCAGCCAACAATTACTTAATTGGTGCTTGCCAGGTGACATTTAGAATAATTATTAGCTACATGTTTTACCACATGACAATAAATCAAACAATTAAGAGTGCATGTTAGATTCAACTAAACTCCAGTTACAGTACATGGATATTACAATTTCAAATGTCCTTTAAGTATGGTAAACAAACGACAGCTTAATGAGCAAGCACCAGATTGTGCATGAATATACTACCAAACAGGTACATGTACATACCAGTATAAATTCCTGTTTATCATTTACAACATAACAGTGACTTGGCCTACAAACTCAATCCTGACAGTTGAAAAAACTAAACAATTAATATACATGTATTTAATTTTGCAAGATCTCATAATCACCATTTTTGGCCAGAGACACTGCTTTGGAAGGGGTGAATGTCCAAGCTGATGAGAGTCATTTAGACCAAATGTATAAACTGCCCCTCTGTCAAGGAACAAACACAATTGAATAATAATGTTAAAGCGCAAGATACCTTAACTTTGTTTTTCTAATATCTACCACATGAAACTTGTTATTCTTTATCCATCTCTATTCCTAAATTACTGCTGCATCAACCACCCCTTTCCAATACAGTTCAATCCCCCACATGTAGATCTGGTTTTAGCCTGCACTAATGTTCCACCTTCTCTTTTTGGATGCCACTTAGATCCATTCCAAAACTAATTAGACAGTACTTACTCATCAGTGACTACCACTGTATGATCCTGACCAGCAGTGACTGACACACAATTAATTCCTTGAAGAGCTGTTACCTGTTGTAACACCTTTAAAAAAATAATTAACAAAAATACAATGTTACCATTTTCTAGGAACACGTGTTGTTTATACAGTACATACATACACCAGTATCACAACTGATACATGTACATCTTCAAATTTTTGGATGTGAAAAAATAATTAACAATAGCCTTTGAGGTGTTCGCACACAGGCTAACAATAAATTGTAATTTCTTGTTTCAGCCATTTAATAACACATAACTAATTTCTCTGAGTTTAAAATATCCATGGCCTATATACTAAATGGAAGGAATGATCATCTAAAGATTGGACTGAAGGCTTATACTGTACACAGAATATTACATGTAAACAATGCATGTACATGTGTACAGTGTATGCACTGATTAGCTTTATAATAAATTATTAATAATGAAAAACATGTACATGGATGTAAAAATTAATATTAGCTTTAATAACACAACACTGTAATTAATAAATATTTTATGTACAATATATTTTGTCAGAGGTTACGTACCAAAAGAGTCTCCTCATTGCCATGTCCTAGTCTCCCTCCTCTGCCATGACCGCAAGTGAAAACTTTGCCATCAACACTCAGGAAGACAGAGTGAAACTTACACATCACAACCTTATTAAATAAAACAGACAATGGTGGAAACAAAGAAGAGATCAGGTACAATGTATGTTTTGCAGATACTTGCAACATTTCATTCTCAGGTATCTAGCAGTAAAAACATGCACATTTGTGTTGCCAAAGTCAGAGCTGTGCACAAATTTTGAAAAACAGTTAATGGCCAACCACTTGTAAGCACAAGCTTGTTTCAGTCACTGTGATAAAACTCTCAGGAAGGTGCAATGACAGGTTTCATAAAGTACAGTAATTACTGGTAATTAGACAGTAAGTTGAAATACCAGTTGTGCAGTGTACACAGGGGTTTCGTTACAGGCCAGGCACCAGACAAGTTGACTGGCTGCATGCGGGACCAATTTTTTCCTGCTTACAGTAGTTTGACTATGCAGAATTTCACTTCAAAAAGGTTTGCTTGCAAGTGAAAACCAGTTGCCTTCCTGCTGAAAACATTAATGAACCCCTGTCTACACTGTATCGGAATCTTAAATCTTTCTAGGAACTTTTATGCCTAAGGTGGCTAAGACTGCTCTAAATAAGCCACGTTTGAAAAATTCGGATTCCACAGTACATGTTGTATAAAAAAATTTTATTAACAAAAATTGTTAAATGTAGACGAATATGTACCTCTTTGATGCAAACCTTGTCCTCTCTCTGGACATTTTCAAGAAGTTCAGGCACTTGTCTTGTGCTTTCATCTCTGTGACCAAGTGTAAAGTTAGTGTTGGATCCCCAAGTAAACAGCTCTAATGGATGATCTTTCAAAAAGAAAAAAAAATGAGAGCTTATGGTTGTACATGCATGAAGGTTACATGTACATTGTACTGATCACTGAAATGAGTTCTAAATTAAACTTGATCTCACTTCAACAACATGTACTAACTAAAGTTGTGTATATCTAGTTAATTACATGTGAAATCCAGGTTGCTATTAATAACTGCTGAAGATCCTCTAAACAATTACCACAGGATAAAGACACTTAACTTTACTGACTAACTGACAATAAAATTATGTCTGAATAGCAGAAAAACAATTAAAAATAGCAACAAAATGCATCATACAAAAGTTTGTTTCGACAGCAATGGACCTAAATGTAATTATCTTCAGGAAAATCAAGCTGACCTAAGATTGGGAAAAAGATATTATCAATAACACTTATTTCAAACAATACAGTGTACATGTACTGAGGTTATCTAAATGTGGATTCCTGGCCTAGTGTGGTACATTGTATTAACAATAACAAATGTTAAAATTTTAGTGTAACTTGAGCTGCATTCATGTACAGTATACATGCTATACACATGTAGGACACAAACCTTCTGATAAAAGCTTTACACAGTCTTTTGGAAAATGTCCTCTTTTCCCATTTAGATTGCCACTCCAGTATCTGGTTCTTGTCATGTGAATGTCAGTCACAACATCACCAACTTTTAACTGAAGTTCATCTTCCAGGGAAGTTTCATAAAAAGAAACAACTTGAGCTTGGACTGTTGATAAAGTCACACATATATGTATTAAAGGATTCATGCTTAGATCATGACATTTGTAAATACATGGTCAAGTAATTGCTTTATATAAATTTATTGCATAATTTATATTCATTTATTTGTACGTACAGGGTACAGTAGCGTACTATATTGTGCAGTCTAACAGGTACCTATAAACTACATGTAATTACTGTAAATAATTGCTATTAATAATAATTCATTAATAGATGATTGTATTGCTGACTGACTGTCTTTAATTGCCCATGGGATCCACTGTTTGGGCTACATGACTTTTGTACTGCTGTCTAAAGGTCTTCATTTAAGGTTTCGAAAACATTATACACCTAGGTATAGTCATTGGCACAGCAGTTTGTACAGCGTGCATGTGCAGTGTACATACATGTACATTATGTAAGTGGGCTTGATCCTTTTGCAAGGGAGTTTGTTAACCTAATTAACATGTACATATCTTAGCTTCATGTATTAGAGTAGACGAATAAACTGCATTTACCTCCTGTTTTTATTTGGAATGGTGAATCCAGTCGAATAATATCCAGTGGAGAGAGACGTTCCTTGTCCAAACAGCCAAGATCTGAACCAAGCTTTCAATTAAATAGCATATGGTACAAATAAAAGAGAGAAACTCAAATACATATATCGTCCATGTACTGCACATATATGCATAAGAGTTAAAGACTTGTGGTTACGTGGTCACCAGTGGCAATTCAAAATTATTTCTAATTTCCTAGAAGTATACACAGATGTAAAATGACATCATTAAGCTTATACTACCTACAGGTAAACGTATGTACAAAATGTATTTTTTACCATTAATGAAATTAATGTAATGAAACTTTAGCTCCACTGACCACCATGAAAACAAATTTTTCTCGATCAGTATCAGATCTCAGGACTCTAAAATAGTAAGCTTAATATGCGAATTGGTACATATCTGTAAGTTAACTTACCTGAAGAAGCTTGACCGTACAGTCCAAATATCCGTAAAAGACACTTCTATGCAAAGCAGTCCAGCACGACTCCAGATCTTTTGTGCCCACATCAACTCCTTGATCTTTCACTAACCACTCCAAAATGTCGCCTTTGCCGCAAGACGCTGCCAAGTGCAAGGCGCTCCGACCAAACAGATCAGAAACGCGGGCAAAGTTCGCGCAAACTCGGGGTAAGATTGCGCGGATCTTCGCAGCATCTTCCTTTGTGATGGCGGATAAGATCAGTTCAGCGTGCTTAGCGAGGCGACATTTTGGTGTGCAGTCCATCGCGGATGGTTTGATCTTGTACCATCGTAGCTACAGGGAGCACATTGCAATAGGATTGCCAAAACGGCCAACGAATACGAAGTTTACCTTGATCAAAACGCCGCCATTTTGCATCGACACGTATATGTTTAACTTAGTTCGCGGGCTCATTTGTGGAAATTATGAGACAGCATCTGATTGGTCATCTTTGTGTTATGATGTTTTTCGACCAATCACAAGCATTGTTAGTTTATTGATCGCTTGGAGATTCGTCTGGTTCCTATAAACAACATGGAAGCCTATTAGCGGTGGACTGCCCTTTTCTCTTCCATAAACTTGAAAAGTATTTAAGCTTATAACAAATCGTTATGATATGGTTTTAAAGCCGCTTTCATGATTTATTTAATCAATGCCTTTCAGAATTTATGTACAAGCCATAGAACATATGGTGAAAATATTGTAGGTGACATCTTTCCAATGTTTGTTGACAAGAGCTTTGAATAGAGGCTAACCGAACAGCTGAATACTCTGAAATGATGGAAGATCATAAGACTCGTACCCTGTCAAGAAATCCTACCAGGTAAGATAAAAATTGTAAATTAAAAGAATTCTTCTAGAAAGTGGTAGTATCAGGTGATCACAATCGTGTTTAATTCAATCCTTGTTCCCTTAGATCGGCTGTTATATTTGGTTAACTACTTTATTCTACGTTGAAGTATAGTGTGAAAGTCCTTCTCATTATAGTGATACATATTAATGATAAGGCTCTATTGCTTAGCAAGTTAATAATTTTGTAACCTGTGACAAGCACTTATTATTCAGTTAATGATGAAGGGTAAATGTACAAAGTGATTGAAATATATTTTAAGGGCCACTGAAGGTTATTAATAAATTAGATTTAAATTTGATTAAGAAGCATTGCATTTAATTAAGTAACTGGGCACCATTCAAGTTGAGAAGCCTTGAAAATTTTCTGTCTGATCATCAATTGGCTTGAAGATGAAATTTATGCCACCAAATACATGTTCTAATCAATTGGCATATGTTATTTGTGCCTGTACTTTATCAGGAAGCATCTGCAATCTACCTTCCCCTCCATGATGGAGGATTACATGTCAGGTGAAGAGTTGTCCAAGCACCTTGGAAGGCAGATGTCAATACATACAGAGAAATATAAGGAACCAGACTTTGAGGAAGAACTTGATGAGGTACAAGTCAGAATATGTTACACATAGACTGGTTTTACAGCCCGAATTTTAGTCATCTCGTCTGGTTGCTTACAATGTACTAACAGGAGCAAGCACAACGACTCTCTCTCAGGAGTGAGAAACTCTGAAAAGGAGGCAGACCCACACTTGTGCATCCTCAGAGACCCATGGGCAACTAGTTGGGATGACACAATTTTTTCGGGCGACACAATATTTTTGGGCGAAAGTTTGCTTCAAGAGTCTTGATTCGCCTGAAAATATCTCAATGTCCTAACCAGCTGCCCCTGGGTCTCTGAGGATGACACTTATGTAACTCAGTATTGTACTTGGTTATTACAGTATATAATAATGTTAACTTACGATTACTACTAGATGGAACCTCCATGTACCATTTATCAATGACACTCAGGGTACAAAAGGCTTACAGTGACAATGCATCTACATGAATGTGTATACAGTGACCACAGTGACTCATCATATATTAGCTACTGTTGTACTTGTATTAGTAGTAAAATTAATATAAACAAGTATACATGTTGTTGCATCTTTTGCTTAGTCCAAAGAAAAAAAGAAGTTGAAAAGAAAAACAAGTAATATCAAAAAACAACAGTCACATCACAGAGTGATTCTTCAGGGATCTGATCATAAGCCTCATAAGAGTGTGACAGCCATTCAGAGTGAAGATGAGGAGGTGCCAGATGATGAAGAACAAGAAAATATAAAGAAAATGAAAGAAAAGGTAAAACATAAAAATAAGCTTAGGAAAAAAAATTTAGAAAGGATGTATAAGGTGCAAATATGAAAGTGTTCATGTATGTGTAGCCAGCAGTCCTGTTGTTAGTTTTCAAATTCAATATAAACATTTGAAATTCCCGAGTCTTTCATGCATTAAAGAACTGAAGGCTAAAAGTTGCTGTAGGCCACAGGCTACCCACACCACTGTATGAGCTCATTCAATAGTATGAAGTGACCAGCAGGTGTATTCATTTGGTGATCCTGTGGCATGGGTTACTAGTCAAACACTGGATAGTCTTCAGCATTTTGTCATGTATGGATCCCTATTTAAACAGATCACCAGGGGACTAACCAGCCAAGGGTGTATTTACATGTATTTTCCCGACTGTCAGTAGTAGAGATCTTAAATGTCACGGGGTTGGGGAAACTCCCATTTAAAAAGGAGGGGGTGCTTGTCATACCTTTTAGAGGTTAAAAAATGGTTAAATTAGTACCTCTTTAGTCTTAGGCTGTTCAGCCTCAAAAGGTACACAGCAGGAGCTTTTGTGGTGCCTTTTAGGGTATTAAGCTGGAAAAATTTTTCACAAGATAATTAATTTATTTGTCGTTTCAGAATTAGTACCTCTTAGGGGTGAAAAAATTTCAAGCCATGCCCACAAAACACGATTTTGGTAGCTCTTAAGGGGTTCCGTTTAAAATTTCAGATGAGCACCCAAAATCTCAGCACAGTGTCCCCAGCCATCCTGGAACATTGCCTACTTGACCTGGGTGCCTATGATTGCAATAGCCATTAAGCTTCCACATCTCCCACACCGAAAAACTACAGCTGTTTCAGTACTTGATCTGACAATTAACCTGGATGCCCCCTTAATTTTAAATTAGGAACATGATGAATTGGTTCAAGGTCTGCTGTTGCTACGTGATTACTACAAGGCAGAGTACAAGAAAGCATTGCACGATAAAGTGAATCATCAGAGAAGAAACCTGCAACAACGGCAGACCAAACTAGAAGAAGAAACAAGGGTGTTAGCACAGCATGAAGTATGTACACCAAATAGAACTAATAGATTCTATTATGGCATGAATATTTACAAAGCCTGATCTTCAAGTATGAGAGAAATTTTGGAAACATTTGGCAGTTTAGATGAACATGTACAGTAATATGTACACTCAGAACGTTTTTCCGGTGCCAAGTGCATTCAAATTCTCCAAGCTTTATGATCTAATAATAGATCATAAAAGCCACCTAACCAATCAAACATTGCTTGTACATGTATACATACATGAATAAAACAAGTAACACAAAGTGTTGGTCATTAAATGTTTCCTCTGATTACAAATGGTTATCAAGGGATTTTGCATGAATGTGCTTCATTGCTATATAATATTTATATGTTAATTCACTTTTCAAATTCTTCAGGCTAAATTATGTTAGGAAGCTACATGTATCCACATATTGGAATTCTATTTACAGCAAGAGATTAAACCACATACTTAATTCTTGCAATTCTATTTCATGTACAAATATTCTACAGCAAGAGATGAAGCACAAAGTTGTCCATAAACTTCCAAAGTCCATTGTTGTTAATGATATGCAGTTCAGGGATGGTTTACAGACAGACTATTACAAAGTAAGTAACCCACCAACAAATAACTACATAGGTGAACACCAACTTCTAACCTCTAAACAAATTCTGTAAAGAAAATGTTTTTTGCTAAAAGTAAACTGCTTGTCTTGGCAGAGTACTTGTGCAATTTAAAACAGAAAACTGCCTGGAAGTTCCTTATTTCCCTGCTTAACAGTCAAATTATTAGGAATATCTTTTAGGTTCCAGATGTGTTATCCATTTGTTTAGAAGATCTTTTGCTTTAAATTCCCTTGTCACCTCCCTCTTTAATGAAGCTTAATGAATACTTGGAATTATGCTAGAAAACAATAGAATATTCACACTTCTCTTAAATTTCTGCAAGTATAATAAGCCGCAATTTTTAACCAGTTGGTTTTCTTACTAGTCTCAAAAACCAACTCAAGAGCTAGTCACCGATACGCTACGAAACCTTACAATTATTGACACTGCTCAGTAGCATATAAGCAATTGATCAACCAGTTATTGCAATTTTCTTTCCAGATCATCAGTCTTGAAAACCAACTGAAGAAGGAAGGATTTCTCACAAAGAGCCATGAAATCAAAGAGTTTTGGGCTTTTATCACTGTACCAGAAAATTTGGAAACTGTTCTGGAAGACGGTACTAATTGAAATCGTTCAGTGGACGTTTTTGACGACGCCACATAATATCAACAATATTTCGTCCTTTCAAACATGTAGAGCGCTTGTCCCCTGTCATATATTTCTTCGTGGCAAGATTGGGGTCCCATATTTTCACGAGTTTGCAACGGATGCTTGAGACGTAATTAGCACATATTACTAAATACGACATGGTAAATCGTGCAGTGAGGCTTGTTCTTTTGATTAAATTAAAATCGGCAAACCGTGACATCGTCAAAAAGGCCCATTCCTCGTTCTTTTAGATTTTGTTCAAGATTGTAGAATGCTTCACTTAAGTCTAATTGTATGAAGTGTTTTCACTTATAACAGGACAACTTTTGTGGGAAAGAATTAAAAACTACCACAAAGAACACAACAAGGCGTCGCTAGCGAACCAAGGAGAAATAAACGAAACAGAGCAGCCGCCAAAACCTAGTCGCAAGAAAAAGTTAAAAGGTTCA